AACTCAGTAGTTATGACATGATTGTTTATTTCTTAAGTATTTTATGCGTATTAAATAAAGAAAAAGATAAAAGTTTGGAATTGCCTTTGAGAAATATACTATATAGGAGGGATCAAAGAACTGACCAAAGATAAACATGTCCAAGCTTTTGTTTGGCATGTATTCATATATCAACATCTTTTCATCACCTTCTACACAGCAGCCAAAAAGTTTTACAAGATTGCGATGTTGAAGCTTGGAAATCACGACTACTTCGTTCATGAATTCTTCTAGACCTTGTCCAGAGGCTCTAGAAAGTCTTTTAACTGCTATTTCCTGTCCATCTTCCAGTTTCCCCTGAGGAAAAAATGTTTTATGAGAACAATGACAATGATTTCAAATTCGATAATCTGTTTTTCAGGTACCTTGAACACAGGACCAAAACCACCCTGCCCAAGTTTGTTGGACAGGTGGAAGTTGTTTGTGGATGTTGCAGCCCTTTTAAAATCAAATAGTAACAACTCCTGTAGTTTAACTTGTGACAGTTCTTCAATTACATTCTGGCTTGAATGTTCTGGTGTTCCACCATTATCAAACTGTACAAAAGCATTGTCGTTTCCTTTCCTTACTGATTTAACTAAGTGCCATATTTTAGCTGAAGTAACAAAAATTAGCTTAGTTCCTTTACCAACAAAACCTAATAAGAGGACTAATTCTGAAATTACCGGAAATGGTGTCTTACCTGAAAGATTGGAAGTCCTCCACATGACATATGTACAAGTCACCATGATCACAGTTGCTATTGTGACTGTTATTGCAATGATGATTTTTTTGTTTCTCCCTTTATCTTTAATGAAAGCAAAATTTCAATTTAAAATATGATGAATTCAGTCGAAAGAAACCATGAGATGAGGAGCAGAGGTAGCATACCAAGTTCAGAATGGGCTACACGAACATATACATCAAGTCCTCCCTCTGAGAATTGTTGTATGTCTAGTAGATTCCCAGTCCAAGACATGCAACCAATCTCATCATCATGAGAATACGCAACACAAGAGCAATTGTCCAAGCATTGGCTTCTGCATATGTCAGTGCCAACAGGAGACCCTTGTGAAAAATCAGGAACTTTAACCATCTGCAGTTTCAAAAATCCATCTTCCTTTGCATCCGTTCTTGTGTCTTGATCTCTGACCCTTTCACACTTCAAACGTGTTCTCCTAATGCATCCACCAGTCCAGTTTTGTCCATTCCATTCCTCTTGGTTCCTCGGTTCAAATCCTTTCAAACAGCTACATATCGGTTTGCTCTGTGCATTACAGCTTGTGAATGGTCCACACATACCATAAACATCACAATCTGACTGTTGACTAGTCCATAAAACTCCGATTTCATTCTTCTCAGAATCCCACCATTTTTGTTCATATTGCCCTTGCGAATTCAACATATAGATTACAAATCGTAATTCACTTGGCACTGTGTAATAGATATTTATATTTCCTTCGCCATCATCTCCTCCTTTGAAACCATTAAGATATGATGACATGGTCGGTATCCCTGTAAATACCCCACCATTCCATGGACCACTGCGCCAGTATGGTCGACTTTCATTCCAAATTAACACTTCAATAATACCTAGGCGTTGAAGAATCCCAGAAGAGAAGCTCCCTATAGAGGGATTAGAAGGGCTTTTCCATGACGTAAGTTCTACTTTCTTACCAGTTCTTGTGTTGCTTGAAAGTTTCATGCCGGGTAACAGTATATCTGAAGGTTGCTGAAAACTATCCCATAAGATGTTTCCTGTTGTGGTTTCCATGAGTACAAGCTTACCAGAGTCTGAAAACTTTGAACTTGTGTTGGATAATGTGTTGGACACATTTGTTGACCAAATGACTTGTTTCTGTCCATTCAGGACCACAAGATTCCCATCTTCAGATATGGTAACCATTCCAGAAGAATCATTCAGTGCTTGGTTTCTGTTAGCAACCCATATAACTGTGGACTGAGGCTTCCACCAAATTCCAACGTAGCGGTTTGTGGAGTTTTGAGGGGTGAAGAACCCCAAAGTGAAGTTACCGTCTTTGGAACTTAGAGTTTCGGGGTCCTTGATGGATTGTGATGATGTGATGTTGTCTACGGCAATACCAACGTCCAACACATAACAACACGGTATGAACAGAACAAAGAACAGGTTTGCATGGTTGCTGAAACGCATTACAGAAACACTTCCCTCTTAAAGTCAACTATCTATGGCATGTAAATAGTTCTAGTTAGTTCGTACCACACAATGAATGAACTCTTCAAATGAGAGTTTCTCTTTGATCAAGTCAGATAGCGTGTATATATAGAATTTCATTTTCTTTTTCGTCATTCTCTTTTTTTTCTTTTCTTTCATTCTGTCAACTTTCCTAGCTCCTCAAATATGTAAGGAAGCTAAGTCAAAATTTCCTTCTTCATCACGTAATTGCTAAATTAACTAATAATAGCTGTCTTGTCTTTCTTCATAAAATTGTACTATCAAAATTGTTTTCAAGCTAGTAGATATGCATCCATAGTATTTTATTTTTGTATTCCTAAAGATTTTAGGTCAAGTTTGAATGAATAGTTAAAACTTAACAACAATAGAAGCAAAATGAATGAGGCTTTCAAATATATCTATATATGTGTGTGTGTGTGAGAGAGAGAGAGAGAGATAGAAAGAGAGAGAGTATTGGTGTACATATACAAAATACATTACTGACTCCTATATCGGTCAAATCCCCTGAACTCATTCTCCATTATTCTTTGCTGAGTAATATTGTTAAAAGATGACATAACAGCAATGTTGATTGTCTAATGACTTGCAAGGTTCTATAGACATTTGATGGGTGGCCATGTGTGTTTTTTTTTCTTTTTTTTTTAAACTATGTTTTTAATCTCACATTAACTAGTTTCACAATGTCAAGTGTTTTCAAATTATGCCATTTCTAGGAATAGATACTGTAATTTGGTGATAACTGGTGCAAGTAGAGAGAGGAACAGAAGGGTTGAAACAGAGAGAGAGCCAGAGCAGGTGCATCCAGAGTCAAATAGAATGTAGGCATGATGGTGATGGTAAATGTCAGTGTGAGATTAGTGGTTATTGTTGACGTTCAAATGTTAGTTGGAATCTCGTATTGTGTAAAAAGGAGTAAGTCGAATAGTTTATCACTGTGATTTCCTGAACATGATAATTCGTTCTGTTGTTTAGAATGCTGCCGAGAAAGAAAGGATACACGTTTAACATGTTAGGTGCCTTCAACCTCAGTCCAATTTCTATGTAATTGGATATATGACCTCACTAATTTTGCATGAATTCTGAGATCTTTTTTACAATATATTAGTTTGTTTAGATAGTCATTATTCTGAATCACAAGGCAAATCATGAAAAGAGTTGGAATAAGAGAAAAGATATTGGGTAGCCACAAGGACTAGTCACCAAATGGAATGTGATGTTATGGTGTATGTTGGCGTTTTGCTTTCTGTAATTCACAAAGCTCTTCAACATTCAGAATTTTGAAAAGGTACAAGGCAAGGAACAAAGAGGAATGGAATAAACAAAACTTGATCACTTAATTTAACTCAAGAGTTGGACTAAAAACTCGTAACAGTTTACATAATATAAAAAAAAATATTCTTAACCTATTATGACTTACACAGTTAAGAAAATACTCTTTAAAATTTGATATTTTAACTGCATAACAAAACAAAGCAGCAAATCACAAGGGATCATACATTTACATTCGTGGTAATATAGAAATTTTCTTTTAATCAGCCTTACTTCCAATACTTAAATCTTCTCTCTAAATAGCCCTTCCAATGCATACCTTTGGACAAAAATACAGGTATACTTACAGTATTACAATTTTCAACACTAGTTTTAGTAGTAACATAATCTCCACTTTACCTCCATATATGTTTCTCAACACCCTTGGTTTTCTATCTGCCTTGGATGTCTGAAATACTGACAGAGTTGAGGGAGTTCAAGTCATTACCTCCTCCAGAGGAAAGTGAACTTAACATATTTTCCCTCAGGAGGAATGCAGGTTTCATTGGAGGTGGAAGATCCACAATCTCACTGTTTAGCATAGAAATTACAGTAGCCATAGTAGGTCTATCTGCAGCAAAATCTTGTACACACAGAAGTCCTATGTGTATGTACCTAAAAATACATTTATGAAGGCTAGGATAATTTATTCCTGGACCTATTAGAGATTCAATATTGCCTTCTTCCCACTTTATCCAGGCCTACAATGGGATTTTAAACATTTGAAAGTTTCATCAGAAGAAGGATACAAAACCCCTATAGTGAATTTCAAAAGAATTTTGTATACTTACAAATCCTAAAAGGGTAAGAGAATTTTTGTCGTCATAAAAGCTTGAATTTCGTTTTCCAGTAACAATCTCTAGTAGCAAAACCCCAAAACTAAAGACATCTGATTTTTCAGAGAACAATCCTTGCATTGCATACTCAGGAGACATATAGCCGCTGCATTGAGATGTACCACAATTTACTACATATCCCAAGTATATTAATAGAATCATGAAGAAAGAAGTGTACTTACAATGTTCCAACAACTCTTCTAGTATTTGCCTCATCCTCATTCCCACCGAAGATTCTAGCCATACCAAAGTCAGATATTTTTGGATTTAGCTCCTCATCTAGCAAAATATTACTTGCCTTCAAGTCCCTGTGGATGATTTTTAGCCTGGAATCTCTATGAAGATAAAGCATTCCTCGAGCCACTCCTTCTATTATGCTAAGGCGTGTTCTCCAATGAAGAACTTTATCTTTTGATGGATCTAAAGAATCAAATGGTAGAATTAAGAGGTATAACATTCTGAGATGAAACACAATCTAATTTTCACAAGTTAGCTTTGATTTCAAGGAAACAGATCAATATGCTTTAAAGAAAACTCACTACCTGTACTTAATTATTCTTTTTAATAGACATGCGAAAGGAAAATTCGATATAGATGGATGCTAGCTGCGGAGCATCAAAGAACTAACCAAAGATATATTTATCCAAACTTTTGTTTGGCATGTACTCATAAATCAACATCTTTTCCTCCTTTTCAATACAGCAACCAAGAAGTCTTACAAGATTGCGGTGTTGAAGCTTGGAAATCACGACTACTTCATTCATGAATTCTTCTAGACCTTGTCCAGATGCCCTGGAAAGCCTTTTAACTGCAATTTCCCTACCATCGTCCAATTGTCCCTATAATGTATCAAGGAGAAAACAAAACAATTGATAATTTTTTCAGATATGAATAAACTAAATGTTAAGTACCTTGTATACTGGACCAAAACCGCCCTTTCCAAGTATGTTCGATAGGTGAAAGTTGTTTGTGGCAGTTACAAGCTTTTCAAAACTAAATATTAAAAGCTCCTGGAGTTTGACTTGCGATAGATCACCAAATACATTGTCATTTGTATAATCTGCAGATGCTCCATCTCCATTAGATTGAAGGAATCTTTTGATGATCTCTACTAATTTATTACAGTGGCACAAATTAGGAAGAGGAGAAACAACATACATAAATCTAAGTTAGCAGTGATCTAAAACTGTTAATAAAAAAAAAAAAAAAAAACTTGTGAACAGAAAGAATTTATTATTATGTAAATTTTGAGCATGTATTTATATAGTTTTCATGTACTGTACCATTAAATAGAGAATTCGTTTGAGTAATTTTAAATGCATAATGATGATATATTACCATGGCGGTTAGAAATCTTTCTCCACATGATATATGCACAAAGGACAACTAAGGTAGCTCCTATTGTCACTGTAATAATAATGATGATTGTCATGTTTCTCTCTTTATCTGCAATTTGGGAAAATAAAATTGGAAATTTAGTTCTATCCCTGAAGAAAGGGTCTCAACTGAAGGAAGTCAATAGAAATTCTTGCACAGATAACAATAGAATTAATATATAATGTGTACCGAGTTCTGTGTAGGCTACTCGAATATGTAGATCAAGTCCTCCGTTTGAGAATTGTTGTATGTCAATTAGATTCTCAGTCCAAGACATACAACCAATCTCAGCTTCATATGAGTATGCAATGCAAGTACAATTCTCCAAACATCGGCTTCTGCACGTCTGGTTGAAGTCTGATGGATGACCCATCTGCAAAATCTGGAACTTTGACCATCTTCAGTTCCAAAAAACCATCTTCTGTATAATCTGTACTTTCGTTTTGGTTGCTGGCTCTTCCACACTGCAGAGGTGTTCTCCTAACGCATCCACTAGTCCAGTTATTTCTATTCCATTCCTCGTTGTTCCTCGGCTCGAACCCTTTCAAACATCTGCATGTTGGTGAGCTTTGAGAATTACAAATTGCAAAAGGTCCACATACACCATAAACATCACACTCAAATTGACTACTATTCCATGTGACTACCCATTCTTTCTTCTCTCCATTCCATAATCTCTCTTCATAATTGCCTGTTGAATTCAGAACATTGATTGTGAAGTCAATCTCTTCTACTTCCGTGAAATGGAATTCAATATTTCCTTCCCCGTCATCTCCAACATGTATCCCTCTAAGATAATACGATTTCATGTTGGGCACCCCCGTAAAGGTCTTACCGTTCCACGGACCAGTGCGCCAGAATGGGCGAGTTTCATTCCAGATGAACAATTCAGGTATACTGAGGCGTTCAACACTTACAGAAAAGCTACCAGTGGATGGATCAGAAGGGCTTTTCCATGATGTTAGTTTTACTTTCTCACCTGTTACTTTGTTAGTTGTAATCTTCATATCGGGTAACAATACATTTGAAGGATGCTGGAAACTCTCCCATATGGTTCTTCCTGATGTGCTTTCCCGAAGCACAAGATTCCCAGAATCTAAGAGTTTGGAAGTACAGTTGGATCCAACAGTGGACACATGTGATGACCAAATCTCGTGATTCTGACCATTCAACACCACAAGATTGCCATCTTTGGCTATGGTAACAACTCCAGAAGAATCATTCAATGGTTGGTTTCTGTTAGCTACCCATATGACCGTGAATTTGGGCTGCCACCAAATTCCCACATAACGGTTTGTAGAATTTTGAGGGGTGAAGAACCCCAAGGTGAAGTTGCCACCACTGGAGGTTATAGTTTCATTGTCCTTTATGAACTGAGATGAGGTGATGGTGTCTATGGCAGTAACAACATCTGAAAAAAGAAAACATGGTATGATCAAAAGGAAGAGCAAATTTGTGCACTTGCTGAAAGACATTACGTATGGTGACAATTTCTTGTCAATAAGTTGATATTTTATGGTTTTGTAAGTGACCTTTTACTACTTCATTCCACCTTGACTGTGACTTTTCCTCATAACAATCAACTTGGTTTGTTTCTGTGCTAATTTTTCAAGCACTTATAATCTCTACATTTTTGTACGTATTTTTATTTCCTTCATTTATATTATACATATATGTATATATTAGGGAAGGTGTCAAATAACACTTCGTAGTAATTTCCCTTGCTAGTGACACTTGCGTGTTGCATCGGTTAACAAGAGATTGATAGACTTCATTGTATACTTTCTTTGTTCTTTTAGTACAGTAACATTGACATTTGTGGTCCCTCATGTTTTAATTCCACACTTTCTTTTGAAGAAAAATATCTTTTAATTGTAATACTTTCTTCAAATTAAAATGTAGTGAAAGTAAATGAAAAAGGACAAAACAAAGTACACCAACTTTCCAATCCAAAATTTAAATTTACATTCTTTTATTATCTAGAAATACAAAAATAATTATTCATGCCCCAATGATGAAGTATATGTTTGAAATGGAGAATGGATTTAAGAGATTGAAAGATAATAATAATAATAATAATAATAATAATAATAATAATAATAATAATAATAATAATAATAATAAGTAAAGTTATTTAGATAAAAGAAAAGAGAATAAAAAGAAAAGAGAAAAAATTATTTATTTATTTTTAACAAATTTATTTATTATTTTAATATTATTTTTTAATTATTTATTATGATTATAATTTTTTTTAATTTAGAAAAAATGGTCACGTAATCATCTCGTTTTAAATAATCGATTATTTATTACATATTTCACGATTCTCTACTTATAAATGAGAGGATGAATATTTTTAGGAACTCAAATTCATTACATTGAAAAATGAACTCTGGATGTAAATTTGTGCTCACCACTTTTCCTCTGACTATCCAATCGGAAGCTAAATGGTAAAGTTGAATTTTCACTTTTATTGAAAAGTACTTTTAGGATATAATCCAAAACCTATATTTATATTGTTCTATTATCTAAATATAAGGATCTTTCTATGATCTTTGGGTGCTTTGGTGTGTCAGTCGAAGGGGCCGGTGGGTTTGGAAGTTAATGTGAAGTTGTTTAACTATGTTTTATCTGGTAAATGGATTTTGCGTTGGTTCTTATATTGTTTCTTATATATGGGGTTTTTTGGGGCAGGTTTTTATGTTCTTGAGTCTGTCATCGTTCAATGTGTGTTTGACGGGTCAGTGTGCTTTTAATCTTTTAATCGGTGATGAAATCTTGTGTTTACTTTATTGTTAAGAGGGTAATGAGTTGATGAGAAAATATTATGGACTATGTGAGATGCTACTTCGATAAGCTTTTAGGAGGATAGGTGCTTGGGTAACTTTAGGATAAAAATGGTTTTTTCTCATATTATATTTATTTGTTCTCAATCCCTCTTCGGTTGTAGCGTAGAATGATTATTGAAGTAAAGATAATTAGATTTGGGACATTCCTTGATGTCTTTCTTCTTCCTTTTTCATTTGAGTTGTCATTGATAGCAAGTTTGATAGAAATTCTGAATGTATTTACGATGCTTCAGGATTATATTCTATTAAGTCTGCTTATTGTTGGTTGTTGACTCTTCTGATTAATATTTTGTCTCTTAACGTTAATTTTCAGGAGGTGTTGTGCAGACATTGAAAAGGTAAAGTACATATCAAATGCTTGATTTTCTTGATAATTTTTCTTAAATTTTGTTCCTTGCAGGTTACATCTTCAAGAGCGTGGTGTGCAGTTAGATTTTACTTTATCTTCCTATATGCGATTTATTTGTAGAAGATCTGATGCATCTTTTTATAGACTGACATAATAATTTTTAGATATGTTTTGTTTAATGAACTTCTTATGAATTTCGTATTTTTTAATGACGTTTGTCTGTTTTGTATTGTATTCTATTTTTGGGTTTTGAGTAGCCCTTTTACTAAACTTAATTGATTTTATTTGCTTATAAAAATTTTTTATTTATTTACCAATCCAACATTTATATTATAAATTTTAGTTTTTTCTCTAATATAAAAGTACTTCGTTTCTTTAACGAAATGTTTTTTTTTTTTCATTTTCAGTGAGTTTGAACACATAATTCCTTGTACTTAAATTAGAATTTCTAATTCGGACAGTAAAGTCACGTTTTAAAAAAATTTCAATACAAATTTTTATTTTACAAGAGTGTGAAAATAGACAACTCCATGACTCCATCAATTAGTAAAAAAAGTAATAATTTAATCTGATTTATATTTTTAAATGAATTATAACTTTTTATCTTGATATTTATTAAGTCAACGACTTACCTTTTTTAATTTTGAGTTAATTAAAATTTAAAATATATATTAATATATTTATATCAAAATAAGTAATTAAAAAAGTATTTAGATAAAACTTTAAAATAAAAAATATATATTTTTAAAATTAAAATTATACTAATAAAATTAATTTTATTTAGATATAATAATTTAATATATAAACTATCAGAAAATAAATTTATTAAATCTGAATAAAAAATAAAACTTATTCTTTATTATTTATTTATTAAATTAATTTATAATATATATTTAAAATAATATTATTTTTATTTTATTTAAAAAATAATTATTATTTTATAAAATAAATAATTTTATAGTTATATAATTTAATTTAGATTATAAATTTTTAATTTAATATAATCTATTTCTCAAATTTTTGAATGGATGAAGAATTAAACCTATTCTCAGGCTAATTTTAATTACTTATTTTCTTTAGTCAATTTTGGAAAAAAAGTTGCCCTACCGTCTATATAAACATCTGTTTCCAACGTTAAATCATGATTTGATTTGACTTGTCTCTTGTGAATTCATAGTTATCCATCACAAACATATCAATTTCCTTATAAATAGTAATGTAGCAAAAACTTAAATAGTAAAAATAAAAGAATGAAAAGAGGAGATAATCTCATTTCAAACCTAACCTACTAACTCTAAGCAATAATTGATTTCATTTCTTAGATTAATAATGTAAATTAGCGTACTATTACTTAATAATAATAATATAATTAACTTATAATTATTTATATATATATATATTAGAAAATAATATGCTCACTAAATATAATTTAAATTAACAATATTTTATTTGATAAAAGATAATACCTCTTATATAATAGTATAAATATATATTATATATGAATATTTAGTAATTTATTGAATTATAAGTAGGCTTAAAAGCAAATATTTAAAAAATAAAAAAAATCACAGTTATGATCAAAATCAATGACAGTAGGTGAGACTTTTCATGTTAGGGAGTTTCAAATCTTAAGTGGAAAATGTCAACTTAATAATTATATCTTAACCAATCACATATATTTTTATAATTCACCTGATATATGTAAATCGATAGTAAATCGATGAATGTAAAAAGTGTAGGCCTATTTTATAATTAATGGAAAATATCTAAAATAATTTATGAAAAATAATTCATAGCAATAGAATTATGAAGCAAAAAGGGGGAAATTCAATACATATACATCATCTCTTTTCTTACCTATCAAGTTATGCCTTTGTTGATAAAAGTGACTTTTGATTTATTTTTATTAAAATGGGCTAAAATAAATTAAGAAATAAAATAAGAGTCAAATAATTGATTAAATAATCCTTTATTTTTCATAAAAAACAATTCAAAAAATTAAACTAATGCTTACTTATAATAATTGATTGAAATGAACATGTAAAAACTTATATTAATTATATTTTATTTCTTCTCTCTTATTCTCCTCTTTATTATTTTTTCCTCCAAACTAAACATACCTTAGCCAATAACTTACTGGTCTACAACAATTATTAATTTAAGAATAAATAAGGAAAGAATTGTAAACAGCCATCTCTAAACACGTTTTTGCATCCATCCATCTAGAATTGCATTGAAAAATTGTTTATTTAACGGTGGAGATTAGTTTTGAAGTGTTGTTGAAGGAAATTAGATCCATGTTTGCATGGCGTAGACCATTTACTTTAAAAGGAAGAGTCAAATATTAATGGAGGGATAAAGAGTGGCCATTGAGTTCATATTATGTATAGATCTTATGAATAATGGGTTTCAGCAGCCATGGAAACTTGTTCTTTGTTTTGTTCATGCTGTGTTTTTATGTGTGGGACATTGGTAGTGCCACAGACGGCATCACACCATCACAATCCATCAAGGACTCTGAAACTATAAGGTCCAAAGATGGTAACTTCACTTTGGGGTTCTTCAACCATCCAAACTCCACAAACCGTTACGTTGGAATTTGGTGGAAGTCTCAATCCACAGTTGTATGGGTTGCTAACAGAAACCAACCGCTGAATGATTCTTCTGGAATAATTACCATATCTGAAGGAGGAAATCTTGAGGTGCTGAATGGACAGAATCAAGTTGTTTGGTCAACAATTGTGTCAAACACATCATCCAATACAAGTGCCAAGCTTTCAGACGGGGGTAAGCTTGAACTCATGGAAACCACGACCGGGAACAGTTTATGGGACAATTTTCAGCAACCTTCAAATACATTATTGCCCCAGATGAAAATTTCAAGCAATAGAACAGGTAGGGGGGAGCAAATTACATCATGGAAAAGCCCTTCTGATCCATCTCTTGGGAGCTTCTCTATGGGTGTCGTTGAACGCCTTGGGGGTATTCTTGAAGTGTTCATTTGGAATGAAACTCGACCATACTGGCGTAGTGGTCCATGGAATGGTGGGGTATTTACAGGGATAGACACCATGGCTAGTGCATATCGAAATGGTTTTGTTGTTGAAGACGGTGTGGAAGGAAATAAAGAAGTCTACTATAAAGTAAAAAATGAATCAGAGTTTTCAATATATACGCTGAATTCGCAAGGCCAATTTGAAGAAATATGGTGGGATGATGAGAAGACAGAAATGGAAGTTTCATGGACTAGTCAACATTCGGATTGTGATGTTTACGGTTCATGCGGGTCGTTCACAATCTGTAATGCACAGAGCCAAGGAACAAAGGACTCACCAATATGCAGCTGTTTGAAAGGGTTTGAGCCAAGGAACAAAGAGGAATGGGATACACAAAACTGGACTAGCGGATGTTTTAGGAGCACAACCTTGCAGTGTGAAAGGGCCAAAGATCAAAACACAAGTACAGATACAAAGGAAGATGTATTCTGGGAACTGCAAATGGTGAAAGTTCCAGATTTTCCAGAAGGGTCTAGTGTTGAGCCCGACATATGCAGAAGCCAATGCTTGGCGAATTGCTCTTGTGTTGCGTATTCTCACGATGATGTGATTGGTTGTATGTCTTGGACAGAGAATCTACTAGACATCCAACAATTATCAAATCGAGGACTTAGTCTATATGTTCGTGTAGCCTATACTGAACTTGAACATGGTACTACGTCTGCTCAAGCCTTTTAAACATAGTTTCTTTTGGACTGAACTCCCCATATTTTATATTGAAATTTTTCCTTTACAGATGAAGGAAAAAACACAACAATTATCATTACAATATCAGTGATAATAGGAACTGTGATCATTGTCACTTGTGCATATATCATGTGGAGCAGGAATTGCTGTCACCCAGGTACGACACCATCTTCGGTGGTTTCAAGATTTAGTCCAATAATTAAGTCTAGTTTTTAATGGTCAAGGAGCTAAGATTACATTTTCTTTATCACTCTAGCTAAAATAAGGCTTTCAATCAAGTCAGCAATGAAAAGGGGCAAGCAATGTTTCATACGTTTCAACAATGGTGAAACATCAGAACAAACTGACAACAAAGTAATTGAAGAACTGTCACAAGTGAAACTCCAGGAGCTGCTACTGTTTGATTTCGAAAAGCTTGCAACAGCCACAAACAACTTCCACCCGTCCAACAAACTTGGGCAGGGCGGTTTTGGTCCTGTGTACAAAGTACTTTAAAACAAAGTTATCATATTTGAATTGAATTGAATTGAATCAATAGTTTATTATAGTTGTCATCACAGAACTTTTTTTTTTTTTTTTTCTCAGGGGAAACTGGAAGATGGACAGGAAATAGCTGTTAAAAGACTTTCTAGAGCCTCTGGACAAGGTCTAGAAGAATTCATGAACGAAGTAGTCGTGATTTCCAAGCTTCAGCACCGCAATCTTGTAAGACTTCTTGGCTGCTGTATTGAAGGTGACGAAAAGATGCTACTATATGAATACATGCCAAACAAAAGTCTGGACGTGTTTATCTTTGGTTAGTTCTTTGATGCCTTCTCTGGTATTTGTCTCATCCAATCCTGTACTTTTGTAATTCTCTTTATTTAGCAAACAAAACAATTTAAGATGTAATCAATCATTTCATAGCTAGTGAGTTTTCTTGAAAGCATTCTAATTAGTGGTTTGGATGACTCCACTTCATTATTTCCTCTTTCAATATTATGTTCACAACAATATAATGCTACCATTACTTTTTAGATGCAATGAAACGTAAACTTCTAGATTGGAGGAAGCGCTGCAGTATAATAGAGGGAATAGCTCGAGGGTTGCTTTATCTTCACAGAGACTCCAGACTAAGAATTATACACAGAGATTTGAAGGCTAGTAATATCTTGTTAGATGATGAGCTGAATCCAAAAATATCAGACTTTGGTATGGCTAGAATCTTTGGCGGGACCGAAGATGAAGCCAATACTAATAGGATTGTTGGAACATAGTAAGTGTATTTTCTTTATCCATTAATTATTTGAAGAAAACTGTTGGAGAATCATTTTTACATTTGAAATGCAGTGGCTATTTGTCCCCTGAATATGCAATGCAAGGACTGTTTTCAGAAAAATCAGATGTCTTTAGCTTTGGTGTTTTGCTGCTAGAGATTGTTAGTGGAAGAAGAAACTCGAGCTTTTATGATGATGAAAATTCTCATACCCTTTTAGGATTTGTAAGTCTCAACAATTTCTAACTCAATTATAGAAACCTTCGCCATGTTTTACAGTGTTAATTTTTTATTTATTTTTTTCCTTTTCATTTCAGGCTTGGATACAGTGGCATGAAGGCAATATATTATCTTTAATAGATTCAGAAATATATGATTCTAATCATCATGATCACATTTTAAGGTGCATTCACATAGGACTTTTATGTGTACAAGAACTTGCAGTAGACAGACCCACAATGGCTACAGTAATTTCTATGCTTAATAGTGAAGTTGGGTTTCTTCCTCCTCCAAGTCAACCTGCATTCATCAGGCGGCAAAATGTGTTCAACTCCGAGTCATCTAAAGAAAGTGAAGAAGTTTGGTCCGTGAATATTGTGAGTATTACAAATATCGGTGGCAGATAGCAAAATAAGATCACTAAGATGAATCATGCAATTGATTACGTGACTATGCAGAAAGGGATCATGTATGTATGTATGTATGTTATGCAGAGATTAAGAAGGATTATATGATATAGGGTTAAATAATAATTTATTGGCAGCCATTCTTTGGTTGGAAAGGGAACTTTTGCGTTGACAGAGTAATACCAAGTAGCTTCTGGTTTTGAATAATTGTTATAATAGTATTTAAGTAAACGATAATTTTTTAGTTGTATTTAACTCCTGAGTTGTAGTTATATTAATAAAAAAGAGGACTTTTATTTAGAAAAAGGATAAATAAAAATCATTAAAAAATATACCACTAACATTTATATGGAGATTGGTGAAATAATTATAGGATACGATTGAGTAGAGAATGAAATTCTATTACAGGTAGAAGGGTGGTTGGACAAGGAGGGACATGGAAATAATGAATTCGTTAAGCAACGTGAGAAAATGGTTATATAAAACACACCTCATAGGATGAGGAAAACAAGACTCACACCTCTAGTCAGTGAGTTAGTCTTTATGTCTTCTTTTACATATCTTATTCTATTATAATAAATTTTCTTATATATAATATTTTTTTTATTTGAACATCTTTTAATTTATCGCCCATTTTTTATTGATCCTCTACCTCAGGTCTTCCATCTCACATTTATTCTACACGTTAAAAAAACATGGGATAGAAAAGAATGTTTCGCAAAAAAGAAAGAGAAATAGATAATTGATTGAGGAGAGTAGAAGAAAAGAAGAAGAAGATGCAAACTTTAACTAAACATCGCAGATTACCCATTCAAGTAACAGAGCTGAAAGAAAAGAGAAGAAAAAAATAAAAAATTGGACTGCAAAAGAAAAATATAACAATATATACCACGAACGATTTTAATTATAATAATTATATGACGATGATTCTTTTACAATTATAATCATGTGTCATATACCGATAATTATAAAAAAACTGTTATTAAAAAAATTAAATATACCAAGATGATTATAAATAAATTATATTAAAATTTAAAAATGATTTCAAAAATATCACACATTTTTTTTAACAATAATTCATATATTTTCATTAACAATTTATCATTTAATCTATCCATTGACATTTTGAATCTATATAATTTTCTTACATTTTTAAAAATAGTTCTCCAATTCTAAACTTTTATAAAGCTACTATATATCGTAACTTAGATATTCTTATATTCCTTTTCTATATATATAGATATAGAACAATTTTTTATTATCAAATTTGATCCTTCAAAAGGTTTATTAAGATTGATAAAATTTATTTTTTATTTCCATTAAGATTATATACATTTACACTAATAATTATATTATATGGTTTATTTTTGTCATTATAAAACTATTAAAATTAATTTTTTAATTTTTAATATGATTTTTGTGTTATCGTTGATATATTTTTTTTATTCTCGAACAATTTTTGTAAATTATTTAAAAAAATTAATTTAATCTTTAAAATTATTTAAAAAATAAATAAAATTAAAAACTAAATGAAACTTGAAGTTTTCAAGAAAGCTATACCGTAGTAATTAAAACTATTAGGGTATCCAAATTAGTGAGCTGAATCTAAATAATAACACATGGTAAAGTAGGAGGTGGACAATAGAATATAATAAAACAATAAATAAAATAAAAAAATAGACATGGATAAACAATGTTAATTAGTTATCGAATTTTAGATGGCTTGTAGTGTTTAGATCATTAAACTATTAAACAAATACAATATAAATAATATCATTAATGATTAATATATAGTAATATCAAACATCGGATTAATTTTAAATTTGAAGGATAAAAAGTAACAGTACTTCGATTTAAAGTCATACATATGCTTCATAATTTTCTTATGGATGATAGATATTTTGCATACAACAAAGTTTCTTTTAAGGTACAAAATATGGTGGTCAAAAGCACAAATCAGACACAGGAAACAATTGATTCCTCTTATGATAGAAATGCTGAACTGAAAGCCTTTGATGATTCAAAAGCTGGTGTTAAGGGTCTTGTAGAGTCTGGGGTCACCAAGATCCCTCACATCTTCCATTCGCATACCATTGTTGAATCCCCAGCCACTGATTCCAACTTGAGCATACCAATCATAGACCTCAAAGACATACACTCTGATCCATCTATGCTTAGTGAAGTAGTTGGAAAAATTCAAAGCGCATGTCATGAGTGGGGATTTTTCCAGGTCATTAATCACGGAATTCCTATCAGTCTTTTGGATGAGATGATTGATGGAATTCGTAGATTTCACGAACAAGACGCTGAGGTAAGAAAAGAGTTATATTCTAGGGATTTTAAGAGAAAAGTGTTGTATTATTCCAACCTAAGGTTGTACAGTGGCCACCCTGTTAATTGGAGAGATACAATTGGTTTTGCTGTTGCTGGTGATCCACCAAAACCTGCAGAAATACCATCTGTGTGCAGGTAGGAGTTTAATTTGAGGAATTACCCGTTGAAAGATTTTTACAATATTAACTAATTAAAATCATTTTTTTTATGCAAGTTGAGTTGCTTGAGTTATTGATCTTGGTGAGTTTTTTATGCAGGGATATTGTGATAGAATATTCAAAGAAAATAAGGAATTTGGGTTTTACAATTTTTGAGTTACTGTCACAAGCTTTGGGACTTGATCCTTTCTACCTTAAAGAAATGAATTGTGGTGAAGGAGTGTTTATTGCAGGTCACTGCTATCCAGCATGTCCCGAACCTGAATTAACCATGGGCGCCACCAAACACACAGATAGTAACTTCATGACTTTACTTCTACAAGACCAACTTGGTGGTCTTCAAGTTCTTCATCAGAATCAATGGGTCAATGTTCCTCCATTACATGGAGCTCTTATTGTAAACATAGGAGATATTCTACAGGTAAAAAGTTCCCAAGTTATTATTGTCAAATTTTAGAAGTTTTACGATGCATTTTTGGGGTTACATATGTTTTATTAAGAAATCATATAAGTAGAAAACAATGAAGCAATGTTTCATAAAAGGTTTTGTTAATTTGGTTAAAATTATATGAATTTTGACTATGGCCTGGGAAAGATAACCTGATGGTGGAAAGCACACAGATAGTAATCTATTTATTTGGTACTGGTGCAGCTTATCACAAATGACAGGTTTGTAAGTGTTAACCACCGGGTCTTATCAAAGAAGAAAGGTCCAAGAATTTCAGTAGCAAGCTTCTTTGTTAAGTCACAAGATCCGAATGAGGGTGAAGCCAAGGTGTATGGTCCAATTAAGGAACTGGTTTCAGAAGAAAATCCCGCAATGTACAGGGACACTACCATAAAAGATTATCTGGCACATTATTATGCAAAGGGTCTTGATGGGAACTCTTCCTTGGACCACTTCAGATTGTGAATGGAACAAGGGAATGCACTCTTCATTCGACTTACTTTATCTAAATAACAAGCCATTTTCTGGTTTTCCAGGTTAGGTAACCATATGATAGTTGGAACTTGTTAGGCCTAAAAGAAACAAAATTATGTGGTTTTAAGTATATATATTGAAAACAAAAGGTTAGATTATTTTATGATTTTAATGGTTATATATATTGAAAATCGATGAAAAACAAAAAATTATGTTGTCATCTTATTAAGTATGCTATTTTATATTTCAAGGAAGCTACTTCTGCAATGGAAGAAATATTTTGATTGTGATCAATTTTCTTGGTAGCTTTTAACTGGAATGTTACTTTTTAAATTGAAGGTAGTTCTGGTTTTATACTATAAAAAACATATTTTCTTTCGGACATCTTATAAAAACATCAAGTTGTCAATATGCATGGCATCGGGCAGGTGGATTTTGTCTACCGATGCCTGTTTCTGAATTTTTTTATTATTCTCGTCCGTAAGTTTTAATTCTCGTTCATGTCGGGCTCCGAATTTTTCCCTTCCGTGAAATTCCTTATCTATATTAATTTTAAAAAGATAATTATATTTATAATAAATTAATTTTATTATGTATTTTTTATATAAAAATAAATATTTATAATTTATAATTAGTATTAATTAAATATATATTTTAATTTATTATATTTATATAAAATATGTATATAAAAGAAATATTTAATTATTATATATATAGAATATTTATAACATTATTATTATTATTATTCAAATATTTGATTATATATATAAGTTAATTTATTTTTAAATTGTCATTTAAAAATATAAAATATATAATTTATAAGGAAATATTTAATAAGTTAATTCTTATTTAATTAGTTCAAAGTAATAAAATTTTAAATTATCAATTCTTTTTAATCCTTTACAATATAATTATTTTATTAAAATAAAAATTGATATATGACAAATAAGAATAACAAGATAAAAAATATGATATAATAAAACTTAATAAATATAAATTATAAACAAAATAATATTAGTTACTACTAAGATTTATGGAAAATATTTAGAAAAAGATAAAAAAATTAACTTTGTGTTCATCAAATTGGTTGAAAAGATTGAAAATAAAATAAAATTGATTGGAGAGATTAAAGAAATGTGAAAAACTGAAAGGTAGAGAGAGAATAATATAATAAACTAATTGATATAAAAGATTAATAAAGATAAAAAATTAAAAAGTGGATAGAAGAAAAATAAGAATGGTGAAATATAAAAAAATGACCTTATATATGTAATATAAAAAAGAAGAAGAAATATTTTTAAAATATTAATATTTTAAAATTTAAATTTAAATGTAAAGTCGGGGTGGGAATTGTATTACCCATCCCGCCCCGAGCAAGTGATGGATCTTGACCATTGATCTTAGGGGCCAAATAATATATTATTAATAAATAATAAATAAATATAAAATAATATATTATTAATAAATAATAAATAAATATAAAAGGAAGAAAAAAGATGAAAGGGTAAAAGGATAAAATTGTAGATATATATTTAAATATATTAAATGATCATTAAGTTTGAGGGGACAAAGTCATAAATTACATAGGGATTACAAAATTGAGAAGGGACTCAAAAGATAGAATTGTAAATATACAAATAAATATATTAAATGTTTATTAAGTTTGGGGGTCAAAATCATAAATTACATGGGAGTTATAAAACTTTGGGGGGTCACGCCCCCTCGCCTCCAAGAAGATCCGCCATCGCCCGACGGAAAAAACCCGAATTTGTCCCCATTCCGATCAACTCGAATTTTCTCTGTCAAACCGGAGGTGGGATGAATTGCGAGTTTAATTGTGACCTTGATTGTTAGATAAAAAAATAAAGAAAATTGATATGTAAACACTACTATTCATTCTAAATATTTAACCAACAACACTCTTTTTAATAATAAAATAATAATAAACATAAAATTATAATTTTTATTATTATAAAATTAATAAATAGAGTTATTATTAAGTTGTTTTTAGTTATCTGAGTTGTTAATCTAACTCTCAAAAATAAATGAACTGTTTATATTGACATTTTTTAAAATAACATCTTCCCTGTTTTGCTGGTGAAAACTAAGAGTGTAAAGAAAAAAAAGTTAAATATTTAAATTTAATTCATAATTATGTTCACTAAAACCAATTCATGGTTAAGTTTTATATATAATTTTTATTTAAATTTAATATAAATGATATAGAAATATTTTAGGGTTTTTAAAAAATTATTGTCTTGGGACATAACATTCGAATTTTTTTATTATTGTTCTTTGCCTTCAAGTGGTTGTGTTTGGAGGAAAAAAAGAGATTCGAGGACAAAGTGGTTTAGATTAAAAAGAAAGAGAATGTAAAGTGAAGAGAAATATGACTATAATTATATATATATATATATATATATATATATATATATATATATATATATATATATTATTAACATTAATTTATATATAATAAATATAATAATATATTTTTAATATTATCGATTACTTATATTTTATAATTGATTATTTATATTATATAATAAATTCATTTATTTGATTAGATCTCTTCCAAATTTTATGATTAAGGTATTTCATTTCCAAAATTATATTGAATACATGGTTATATACATATATAAAATAATTAACATAAATTTATATTTAAAATAAAAATTAAATATAAATAAATTGAATATAAATAACTAAATATAATACATAGGATTATACATTAATAAAAAAATAAAATGTAAAATTATATATATATATATATATATATATATATAATATAATATAATATAATATAGACATATAACTATTAAGTAAAAAAAATAAAAATATAATATTATAGATAAAAAATTATGAAATGAGATAATGCCTTTGAAAATAAATAATTTATATATATTTCTTCTCGTATATAATGAGAAAGATAAAACAAATTTTCTTTTTAAATCAACACATATCTCTTAATACAAATATAAATTTTCTCTTTAAATATGCTCCTGAATTCTTTATAAACAATAAAACAGAAAAAAGGTTTAAAGTTTGCTTTAACCCCACGGTAATGTAAAACTTATGACATGTTAATCAATTGTAACCGTATAATTTTCGAACATCTCTTTACAAAAGTCAAGAAGTCTCTATCATTTATTATTTTATATTATACCTAATCTAAAGGCACTTTAGTGAACAACTTGTTTACGTAACGAAGAACACACGAATTTATTGTTTTGTTTATGAGTGATCCTTGAAATGTTATAGCCACATCTTATCTCATATGTATAAAGTCAATTTTACATGACACCACAACTTTAGAACACGTTTTTGTTCTGTCTGAAAAATTTAGATATTATTTTCTAATTAATTTGTGACACTGTTCTGAGAAAAAACATGTTTGTATTAAATGCATGCTTTTTTTATTGGGTGAAGTACAAGAAAAACTGCTATTTATTATTCCTTGTTTTCCCTGGGGGGTATTTGGGATTTGGGTTGACCATAAGAAAATTCTGTTTCTTTTTTTGGATTTTCGTTTCCAGTACTAAGTGTTTTGATTCTGCATTTTGCATCAGAAGCAAGCACTTCTGTTTGCAAGGTTATTCTCCGAATGGATGTCAAAAGCACAAACCAGATAGAAGCAGCCATTGATTCCAATTATGACAGGAAAGCTGAAATCAAAGCATTTGATGAGTCAAAAACTGGTGTTAGAGGTCTGGTAGAGTCTGGGGTCCAAAAACTCCCTCGTATGTTCCATTCTGGCGTTGACATAACTGAAAACATGGCCAGTGACCCAACGTTGAGTGTTCCTGTCTTAGACCTTGAAGGCATACACAACAATCCTGCTCTGCGTAAAGAAGCTGTCGCAAAAATTCGTAGTGCGTGCCAGGAGTGGGGATTTTTCCAAGTGGTCAATCATGGAATTCCAATTAGTGTTATGGATGACATGCTTGACGGAATCAGAAGGTTTCATGAACAAGATCCTGATGTAAGGAAACAGTTTTTCTCTAGAGATTTGAAGAGCATAATTCTATATTATTCCAATACTAGCATTTTCCTAGACAAATTTGCTAACTGGAGAGATACAGTTGGATGCTCTATGGCTCCTAATCCACCCAAACCAGAGGAATTACCAGCAGTGTTTAGGTAATGAATTAATTCTGTTTTAGATTTTTCAGTGGTCTATAAATGTACTAATATTTGCCCTTTTTCTTTGTATTCTTAATTAAGTATCTGGGTGCTTATGTTGGTAGGAGGACTATTTTTCAAGTAACTGAAGTTATCAAATCATAAAATTCATGTTTGATAAATGGTTTTTCTAAGAATTGTTAGCTTGAACTATTGAAATTCTTGATTAATTATATATGTACTTGCAGAGACATAATTATTGAATATTCCAAGAAAGCAATGGCATTGGGTTGTACAATTTTTGAGTTGCTGTCAGAGGCTCTTGGCCTTAATCCATCTTATCTCAAAGAATTGAATTGTGCAGAAGGACTTTTCATTCAAGGTCATTACTATCCCCCTTGCCCTGAACCTGAATTAACTTTAGCCACCTCCAAGCACACTGATAGTGCCTTCATCACAATACTTCTACAAGACCAACTAGGTGGTCTTCAGATTCTTCATGACAATCAATGGTTTAATGTTCCTCCTGTGCATGGAGCTCTTGTTGTAAACATAGGAGATATTCTACAAGTAAGTATTGCAATGGTAGCAAACATTTTTGGTAGTTTATATGTTTAGTTAATTGTATTAAGATTACATAAAAAGTTGAAATATTAGAATCAAATACAGAGAACTGGTTTTTTAAAAGTCTTGATTGAATACTACAAGACTTTTTTATGAAAATAAATCTTTTAAAAAAAATTTGAAGTCACAATTGAATACACCTTATACATATGTTATTTCTCCTCTCTACAAAAACTCGAACAGTTTTTGCTGTTAACAAAAAGCATGCTCTATTAGAACAAAGAGGAAAATTTCCATGGAAACAGGTTTGTTAATTTGCAACATTTAGCACAAGAGGCCACAAAATATGTGTTACAAAAAATTTGTGACAGTGTACCACATGTTATTTTGTAGACTTGGACTGTGGCTTCATCTGCATCCAGACTTTGTGTATGCCTGGATTTGTGCGTTTGTTCTGTCATCTTCCTATTATAACTCTGAAGCTCTTCTGTTTCATCAGTATCTATTTTCCATTGTTTTCTTAATTTCAATTGAACATGGTCCTTCAGAGTTCATAGTTATGATTGTGCAGAACAACATCATCGCCATGTATATGTTATTTGAATTATCACAATAAATTGCAAAGGCGTCATCCTAGGAGGTTTCCTGCTTGAATAATCTTAAACAAGTTGATGCAAAAGTCAACTAAAATATGATGTAAACTTTGGTGTTTTGCTATGATTATTGTTGACTAATGATGAACATGGAAAACAATGATGATATCAACTTCTATTTTCTACCTATACATGTGATTTAGATTGATTACAGTTTGAGGAGTATATTTATTAACTTCCTAGCTATTGTTTCAGCTTATAACAAATGACAAGTTTGTCAGTGTTTACCACCGAGTCTTAGCAAACAATAAAGGGCCAAGAGTTTCAGTAGCTAGCTTCTTTTCAAATTCACATGATCCTGCTAAAGGTGCATCAAAGGTTTATGGTCCAATTAAAGAGTTATTATCAGAGGAAAACCCACCAATCTATAGGGACACTTCAGTAGGAGAGATCATGGCTCACCATTTTGCAAAGGGGCTTGATGGGAGCTATGCCTTACAGCCTTTCAGGTTGTGAAATCAACAAATTTCGACCTGAAAAAAAAGACTTAATAAAGTTGATGCCCTCAAGATTCTCATGGGTTGCTGTAATGTGTTATTTTGTAGTGTCTTTTGGTGTCTTAAATTTCCATAACAAGTTATGTTTGTGTAGCAGCAGCATAAGTTCTGCTGCAGACAAAATAAGATAAAATATGCATATTTATTATCTTCTCATTCATTTACTTTTCCAATCATTTATGAATTTTTAAGGTTTTAAAAATATAGTTTGGATATAAAAGATATAAGATATAAAAGAGTTTCTTCTAATATTTTATTTATATATCATATACAGAATAAATTATAATAAAATATAAAATATTAATATATCTCAATCTTATAACTATTTAAATAAAATAATAGTATAATATTTTTTATTTAAAATAATTTTTAAAAAGTTAAAAAAATTAAAAAAATTTAATATCTAATTTAAATTAAAGATAATAAAATATATATTCTTGTAATTATTTCTTATTTTAATATGTGTTTATTTAAATTTTAAATTTTATTTACTTCTTTTGTTTTTTTGGAATGCAAAATAACAACATTAAAAACTGAATGGAGATTAGAAAATGATTCTTCATCTACTTTTTTTTCTTTTTTAACATCAAAGTTCTTCAAAAAAAAATATATATCATCGTGATTTTTTATTAATTTTATTTTACTTATTTTTTTCTATCTTTATTCATAATCAATTTCTTTTTCATTAAATCTATTTTTTTTCTTTCTTACGAACTTTAAAATACTTCTAAATTATTTGTAATTTTAATCACACAAATTTATATTTAAAAATCATTTTATAGCTTTTTTTCAATAATTGGATAATACTTACTAAATTTTTATTAATTTTATAAATATATAAGATATCAAAAATTAATTTAATATCTAAATGATTAATGATAATTATTTTTATGTCTTTCATACTATTTTATTTATTATTGTCAATTTTTTTCTTTAGAAGTAACATATTTGTTGAGTTTAGTAAAAAAAATATCAATAATGTGTTATGTAATTTGTATAATAATTATCAATAAGTCAATTTATGAATTTTTGTTGTTGTAAAAGATGTTGTTATAAAGAAATATTTCTCTTCTATTTACTCCTCCATGAATTTCTTATTAATATTGAGATTCTCATTTTTTTTTTTTACATGTATAAATTGATAACATTTATAATATTTCATACTTTTCACTTCCACTAATAAAGTATTATTTTCCTTGTAATAAAGACAACAACAAAAATTGTTATGTTTGGTTGTATTATTATCTTTCTTAATTTAAGAATATGATATAATAAAATTATCCACAGTATAACCTTTTATATTAATTTTGTGTTTATAATGCATGTAGTAATTATAAGAAAATAATTTTAGACAAATCTTTTATATTTTTTAACTAAATATTTTATATTTCTTTAATATATTTTCAAGAATTTTCTCAAATAATCTATAATAAAAAAATTATTTAATAATTTTATCTTATTAACAATATATAATAATTTAATTGGGATTAAGTATATTTTAATTGCATCAAATCTTTTCTTTGTAGTTCAAAACATAATAAAACATATATTTCTAATAACATTATTCTTATAACTTTTCCCGTTCACATGCTAGAGAAAATAACTTCAATTAACACTTAAAAAAATCTTAAACAGGCTTTTGTTTTGAGTATTTAATAACTTTTTTTTAAATTAGGTATCTTATAAATTATAAAATTTTGTTTAAATTCTTGAAAATATATTTATTTGTATATTATTCTTATTATTGAGTAATTCGAAAATAATTTTAAATATATCTTTTTATCTCTTAACTATTTTTTATTCTCATTGTAATTAATATGTTTTCCAAATATCTGATTACATATGTGGTTAGTACGGAAAGAATTTAATATATTTTATTCGTCAACTCTCATCTAATATATATATATATATATATATATATATATATATATATATATATATATATATATATATATATATATAAACAATAGAACTATTACAAATAACAAAAGGATTTATATCAAAATATTTAATTGTAAAAAAAAAAAAACTATCAGGTACAAAAAATAAAAATAGTTTATATTAATAACTTTGGATTTATTTAAGTAAAAAAAAGTATATAATTATCAAAATCCAATTTTTTTCCTCAAATGATTATCTAAAAGTTTGTGCTAATGAGCATAAGATTTTTCCCCTCGTTGAGTTGCATTTGGATTTAATTATACGATCTCACACACTTCTTAGTTCTTCAACTTGTGTTTGAGGTAGCCACTGCTATTCTGGTAGATATCTCTGAAGATGGTGATCGAAAAGTCAAAGTAGATGGAGGAAATCATTGATTCTGCATATGACAGGGAAGCTGAAGTGAAGGCCTTTGATGATTCAAAAGCTGGTGTTAAGGGTCTTGTAGAGTCTGGGGTCACCAAGATCCCTCGCATCTTCCATTCGCATACCATTGTTGAATTCCCAGCCACTGATTCCAACTTGAGTATACCAATCATAGACCTCAAAGACATACACTCTGATGCATCTATGCACAGTGAAGTAATTGGGAAAATTCGAAGTGCATGCCATGAGTGGGGATTTTTCCAGGTCATTAATCACGGAATTCCTATCAGTGTTTTGGATGAGATGATTGATGGAATTCGTAGATTTCATGAACAAGACACTGAGGTAAGAAAAGAGTTCTATTCTAGGGATTTGAAGAGAAAAGTGTTGTATTATTCCAACCTTAGGTTGTACAGTGGCCACCCTGTTAATTGGAGAGATACAGTTGATTTTGCTGTTGCTCCTGATCCACCAAGACCTGAAGAAATACCATCTGTATGCAGGTAAGAATTTCATTTGAGGAATTCTCCGCTGAAAGATTTTTACAATATTGACAAATTAAAATCAGTTTTTTTATGCAAGTTGAGTTGATTGGGTTATTGATCTTGATGAGTTTTTCTATGCAGGGACATTGTGATCGAATATTCAAAGAAAATAAGGGATTTGGGTTTTACAATTTTTGAGTTATTGTCACAAGCTTTGGGACTTGATCCTTCGTACCTTAAAGAAATGAATTGTGGTAAAGGAATGTTTATTGCAGGTCACTGCTATCCAGCATGTCCCGAACCTGAATTAACCATGGGCGCCACCAAGCACACAGATAGTAACTTCATGACTTTACTTCTACAAGACCAACTTGGTGGTCTTCAAGTTCTTCATCGGAATCAATGGGTTAATGTTCCTCCATTACATGGAGCTCTTATTGTAAACATAGGAGATCTTCTACAGGTAAAAAGTTCCAAGTATTATTGTCAAGTTTTAGAAGTTTTGCCATGCATTTTATAGTTTTTATAAGTTTTAAGCATTTTATGCATAGGTTCAATGTCACTCCGGATTTTTTCAGTTTTAATAGCTACAGCTGAATGTTTAGCTCCAATTTGTTTTTAGTTAGTGACCAACTTTTTTAGAAGTTTCATGTCATGGACTTTTTTCCTCTTCCTATCAGTTGCTTATTTTACTGTCTATATATTATCCAATCTTATCTGTAACAAATACATATTTAATTACAGATTACTCTTTCTAATATTTATTGTCATAATTGTTTCCCTGTAAACTAATCCATGGTGATGAAACAGAACTAAGAACTACAAAAGTGAAGTTAAAAACATATATATATCCAAGATCTGAAAAATCATATGTTGTACAAAAAAGAAATGAATACAATATTCCCAATATTAACCATGTTTTTATCGTCGATTCGGCGGTTCACCGTCAACATCTAAAATTATATACCAATAAATCCAGGGCATACCTTCTCGGGAATTGGCAAATAGGGGTTTCTATTACATGCCAAGTAGTTATTACTTATTATGTTTTAGGTTGTAATTGCTATCTTATTGATTTCAGATATTCGAAATCTGCAAACTATTCCTGCTTTCTGTCAGAATTTCTTTGAATATATTCTGGAATGAAATTCTTTGAATATATTCTTGAATTCATTTCAGACGTGAGCAAAAATTAGATTGGTGAAGAATATGGTCCGTGGGCCTTTTATTGGCAATCATCCCATAGTTTTAGTTTTATAATTACTATGGAGTTTATAATTTTGTCTCCTAAATTTAATAATTATTTAATATATTTACTTATATATTCACAATTTTATCTTCTTAATCTTTCTTCAGTTGGCCCTCCACACTTAATGATCATTTAATATATTTACTTATATATATTTACAATTTTAATCTTTTCATCTTTCATCCTTTTTTACCCTTTTATAGTTATTTATTATTTATTAATAATATTGTCCCTCAAATCAATGGTCAAGGTCCGTAATAAACCCTAAATCCTGTACTAATAACAAATAATTTTTGAAAAATTGAATATTATTAATTTTGTCACACAAAATAAGAATTATATTTGAATATTCAAGAATTGCAACTTTAACTTTCTGAAATCTTAGTATTAATTCCTAAGAATAGTAATACTCACTACCTAAAAACTTAATATTAACTACCCAATATATTAGCAAAATCAAAATATTTTAATTAATATTTAAACATATTATTTTTCATCTAATTTTATCCAACAAAACTCTCTCATAAAATAAAATGTTTCTCTTCAATTAACTAAGATCGATAAAGGATCGATCTAAATGATTTCATTGCTTCTTTTATTTTTCATCTCGATTATCTTGCAATTTTTGAGCAAAACTCGTAGGCAATGATTTTGTGCATACATCTACAACGTGATCTTAACTCATCACGTGCACAAAAACTCTCCACATTTCCTTCTTTCATGTGTTCTAGAATTAAATGAAATTGAACATCATGTTGGAATTGGTCAACAAAGTAGTTTTGGTAGAGAAACATATCCTTTTTGCGAGAGAAATTAAACTAATTAATTAAAAGCATTGCATAAAATATAGGAAATAAGACTTGAGGATTATATTCTTTACATTAAATATAAATAACTGTGCACAAAGTATTATTACTC